AAACTGTCCTCAGTTTTGACAATGAAATGCATTTGCCTGTGACAGCAAAAAGAAGAAGATGTGCTTATTGTAGCACCAATGAAGCAATAGATTTTCGAACCAACATCGAGTGCTTTACTTGTAAATTACCATTTTGTTTAAGAGATAGAAAAAATTGTTTTTTTGACTATCATAAGATTTTTATGTAGCCACTTTGAGTTAAAATAAAATAAACTGGTTGAAAAATGTTTTTGCGATTAAAAAAAAATTCCGTCCTCAAAGGGTTAAAGTGTCCTCGCATAAATGTTCCGAAAAAAATGTCCTAAAAAATTGTCCTAAGAAAAAATGTCCTTGGGAAAAAATGTCTCTGAGTAGAATGTCCTTATGCGAAAGAGCCCTAAAAAAATGTGATTCTATCTAAAATGTCCTTCTACCGAAACGTAAATGACGATCGATCATATTGTTGTTATGCATGTATTTAGTTTCTCTAGTTTGGTCATTTTTTATTTGCAACAAAATAAGACAGTTCAACTAATAAATCGATAACAATGAAGAAGATAGTATGGATGTGAAGACAGCGATGATGCTGATGCCGTTGTTAATTTTTGTGAAGCCAATTGAAATGTTCGAAATGAAAAATAGTCTGATTCAACTGTATTTTTTCCTGTTTTATTATTATTCACATGTAGCCATACTGTATTTAAGTAATAAACTCCTCTGCGTATATAGTTAAAAAATATGCTTAATATGTATTCTGATCAAGCTTCATGTACGGTGTAGTTGAAGGTTATTTTAGATGAAAGGACAATTTTTTTTGGAATGTTGTTTCTGGGACTTTTCCGATAGGGGACATTTTTAACAGGGGACATTTTTCCCAGGACCTTTTAGCATTAAGACATTTTCGCTCAAGACATTTTTCCGAGGACATTTTATGTCGAGGACATTTTATGTCGAGGACATTTTACGCGTGACATTTATATGGGGACATTTTAGAAAGGACTTTTTTTGGGGACAAATACGACGTAATTCGCTTGGCTTATGAAAAAGATATAAAATTGTCTGAATTATTTGTTTATTGAAAAACTATGTTTTTCAAAGCGTATGATTATAATAAAATGATTATTAGAGGTTAGCAAAAAATGATTTGAACAAAAGTATACTTGTAAAAAGGACAAAAGCAGTATACATTGGTCTTGAAATTGTTGAACAATTTAATGTAGTCGTTTGAGAATAGCTCGACGATGTAGTGGTTTGTATTGGGGCAGGTGCCGTTGATGTAGTGGTTTGTATTGTGGCAGGTGCCGTTGATGTAGTGGTTTGTATTGTGGCAGGTGCCGTTGATGTAGTGGTTTGTATTGGGGCAGGCGTCGTTGATGGAAAGGTTGAGCTTGATATAGTTGTACTAAATGTCGTACTCAATAAAGATGTTGTCGAAGTCGTAGAACTCTGATCTCTAATTGTAGTGGAATAGCTCGATGATGTAGTGGTTTGTATTGAGACGCTTGTAGTAGTAGTAGTAGTAGTATTAGTAGCTTCCGTTGTTGCAGCAAGAAGTATATCTACTTGAGTACTTGCATTAGTAAGAGCAGCGTTTATTATGTTAATACTCTTATTTGTATATAAATCAAAACTATTATCATCTAGTTGCAATGCATTGATTCCATGTTTGATAATCATATTGACTAAACTTGCACCAAACTAATAAAGAAGACGAACCATACAGGGTGGTCCAGAAGTCACCCGATACTCTTTGATTACGAATAACTTTTGATGGAAAGAAGTTAGAGAGCTAGGATTTTCACTGCTCGAATGAGCAGATGACGACGCATCGAAATATATATTATAGATTTTTGTAAGATGTTTTCTAGGGTTTTCTTAATCAAATTTCTAAAAACAGCTGTATGGAAAATGGTTTTTTATAAAATAAGAAAAACTCAAAATTTCACTTTTTTCAGAAATTAATAGAAAAATCAGGTCATAATTTCGAGTGGAATACCTGAAACTTCTCAAGGAGTAACTCTAAAAGTCTGCGCTTTGCATAGTTTTGTAGGTTTTTGGCTAGTGGTTCAAATGCATATCTGATTATAAAAAATTCAGTGTAGTCGTCTTATGGAGTACGTTGATTTTCAAAAACGTCGATTAAAGTCCTTGAAAAAACGAAGTCAAATTATGTTATAGTATATAATTCGATGCATTTTAATCTGCTCTTTCAAACGGCGAAAACAACAGCTCTCTATCTTATTCTCATCCCAAGTTATTCGTAATTAAAGAGTGTCAGGTGACTTCTGGGCCACTCTACATATTGAAAATCCATATGTCTAGCTTACATTTTTGTTTCCTGTTGTTTCATAATCATGAATACATGCAGACAAACTACTATCGTGTATATTTGAATCGATTGATATACCGAGTTCAACAGCTGCTTGATTACTTGCAGTTAAATATGCTTCACAAACTTGTCTCGGCAAAGTATTCATATTAAAGCGTTGAAAAAGTTTTTGTTTTTGTTCAATACTATTTTCGAGTTCACAATCGTCTACAGGTGGCATCACGCAAAGACCACTAGATCGCCTTATCAATTCGTAAGGCATACGTACGGTTATATCATACCAATCAAACTACAGGAAAAGACCGAACAGATAAATTAAATGATTTATTGAGGGCCAGGTATTTACCTCATATTGATTTGTTACAATAGAAATATGTAGATCAATAGCTGCATATAGAATATCAATTTGCGATCTACTTGGGCGAGTTAGTTTGACATCTATCTCATAAACGATCGAAAAATAACGTATGGGTATCAATTTGTTGACCTTACCTGAGCTGTTACATATTTGTTGATGATTATCAATTGTACAGAGAGCTATACTGTTGTCTTTGAAAAATGTCATATTAAACTAATAATATATAAATAAAATTTTTTATTATAGTATTGAGAATTGTCATATTTACTTGATCTATCCGCCAAGCTTCTGTGTGTACAGTCACAAAAATTTGAACAAAATCATTTAGTAAAATACGATGTTCACCCGGCGTTTTACACCAGTATTGATGTTGAAACGCGCTGAGTCGTTGCCCAAAGATGAGCATATGAGGATCACCATAGAAATTACATAGTCCCTTGCCTTCAGAACCTTTTGATGTAGTAGTCATAATCGTAGTTGTAGGAACGCTTGAATCGGTAGTTACGCTAGTACTACCGGATGTAGTTGTGGATTCGACAGTAGCTGTACTCGTAGTTACGGTAGTAGTAGCTAATAGGGTTATGATGAAGCGTAAATATGTTAATAAGGTATAGGTAAATACTTACTTTCTGCGGTTGTAGTTGATGGAGTAGTGGTTGATGTTGTTGTGTCGAGTGTAATATTTTCTGATAGAATAAATTGTTCGATCATTGCCGAGGTATTAGCAACGGCAGCCTCTAAAACCACTGCACTTTGTTCAAACAATAGGTTCTGCTGCTCTTCAGAAACATTTCTTGTTGCAGCAGTATCAAATATGGATAATTGTAGCACACTATTGGCAAACTGTAAATAAACAAGCAACATATGTATTCATTCTTATCTCAATTTTTACCCGCCTATCACCAGAAAGTTCGAGATCATTGATACAAGATGTCATTGCAGCACCTTCTATATTTTCGCTGGTCGATGGTAAACCTAATTGTGCCACTGCTTTCCGTGCTGATTGGAGAGTACGTTCACAGATTTCTTGTGCATGAGTATTAACAAAAATTTGTTCTGGAGTTGGATTTCTTATAGTTAGTACATTTTGCTTTCGATTGTAGTCACGATAAGCAGCTGGTCTTTCTAATTCACAGATAAATGAACCGGAAATGCATAGTCCACTTGATTGACGTATAATAGTGAAATTCTCCTGGTAGAGGTTTATGTCATGATACGATGACTATACAGAAAGAGGAAATAGAGTTATCTCATGTTAAGAATATACTTCATTATTTTAACTTACCTGTGAATATTGGACGATAGTCATACGTAAAGAGGCAGCTCGATACCTGATCTCAGTCGTTGAGCGCATAGGCGTGATTTTTATCTCTATGCATGGTTTCAGTAAGAAATATGATAATAAATAAAAACTCTTACCTGGATGATTGCATACTTTTTGATTAGTGGTAATCGTACATATAGTTGCTTGACCATCGAAAAATATAATCTTATACTAGACAAAAAACAGAGAGTAGTGAAAATTACGGAGAACTAAGTTTCTGAAAGCAGATGTCTCTCTCATTTATTTACTTGTTCCATCAAATATGGTGTTGTTGTAACGATAATACTAAAATTAATCCATTGGTTTTTATAAAGAATATATTCGCCTTTCTCTTTACACCACCACATTGGTTCCGATTGACCTGGCCGCCGAGGAAACCGATACAAATGCGGATCACCCCATATATAGCATAGACCTGTTTCCAGTTCGTCATCACCTTCAACTGTGAGAGCTTGGTCTAAATATCAATATCGCTCGCATAATATAGTGCTCTATATTTAATGCAGACTATCATAGATTAACACACGAAAGTATAGAATAATAAATAGCTTGTAAAAACTTTAGCAATTGTTTCAAAAATGCCATAGGAACTTTTTCTCTATCGAGGCTACTATTACTACGTAGTGGCTCAAATGAAAATGGTTCTATTCTGAAATAGATACTTCTCATTTAGGGAATTTAAATGATCTAGGACTTTGTATATGCATAGCTCAGAAAAAAGTATTGTTGCCATGTTTTTCAGTTTTTAACCTACAATCCTCATCGTGCTTTCGGGTAAAACAGAAAAAAGCACCAAGACCAACGTGAAAAAAAACTCTGAAATCGTTTTTTAAAAATTTGTATTTTTTTTTCTTCTCATGAATTTTGATTAATTTCAAAAATATCTATTCATATATTCGACCAAGACTGATGTTCAACCTAAAGTCGTATACATTTTTCTAACGAAAATCTGTATTGTCCATTGTATTGGAAGGGAGTTATTAAAATTCTACATTCAATGAATTCATTGAACTATAATGAAAATCACATGTTTCACTGCAGATTATCTGATTTTTATCTCTCCAGGACGATGATTACAGCCGCTGTAACGACCAAAAATCATGACGTATATACTGTCGTTTTAGACAGTTTACGGTCGTAAATAGCTGTAAATTAACGTTTTCGCAGCGACCGTAAACGACCTGAAAAACGCATATCTGATCATTTACGCTCATTTACAATATGATGAAATACGGCCGTAATACTGTCGCTACCAAACGAGCGAAAAACGATGAAAAACGGTCGTTTACGACCGAGTTTGTTTGACCTGGGTCAAAAATAAAATGAACCGTGAAACATCGAGAAAAAATCTTGACAAGAAAAATGATTTAAACCAGCTTTACCGTTGTTGACTATACAAAAAAAGATCAAAAAATAGTAGATGCTTGTTGTTATTTGCAGCTGAGAGGCCATTTATCAATTTTTTAATCAATTATTTTATGTAACACATTTCAAATGTCTACCATGCATATTTATATGATGTCTCTAGACTATTAATCATTGATATCAGTAAAATAAAAATAAAAAAGAATTAATTTTACAATGTCTTACAAAAATCAGGCCTGTCGAAAGACGCTGAAAACTTCTCCCTTTTTATTTTATTTTTCCAACAAGAAAGATAACAGCCTACACTGTAAAAAAAACCGTAGAATAAAAAACGAAAAAAGGGTTTATGAAAGTGCAACGTGTAGCAAACCCTTTTCAACCGTTTATCAAGGAGTCATAAACCCTGTTATAAACCCTCTAAAAAGGGTTTAATACGGAGTTTATTAACGATAAATATACTTTCTGGAAGGTTTATTAAAGGGTTCATAAGATTCATAAATCCTTAAAGGGATTGCGACACGTTGCACTTTCATGAACCCCTGAAAAGGGTTGATAATTAACATAAACGTTCTTATGTAACCTTCGAAATTCAGTCTAAAAAGGGTTGATTAAAATACTATACCCATGAGCCCCTCTCAGAAACGATATTGCAAAGCGTTTATGGGCATCATGAATGGTCGACAGCGTTTGTGATATGGTATATGAAACCAATTATTATTCTCATCAAACGCCCCAAGGATTTATGATAAGGTATATGAAACCGATTATAGACCTCATCAACTGCCTCAAGGGTTTATGATAAGGTATATGAAACCGATTATAGACCTCATCAACTGCCCCAAGGGTTTATGATAAGGTATATGAAACGGATTATAGGCCTCATCAACTGCCTCAAGGGTTTATGATAAGGTATATGAAACCGATTATAGGCCTCATCAACTGCCTCAAGGGTTTATGATAAGGTATATGAAACCGATTATAGACCTCATCAACTGCCTCAAGGGTTTATGATAAGGTATATGAAACCGATTATAGACCTCATCAACTGCCTCAAGGGTTTATGATAAGGTATATGAAACCGATTATAGACCTCAAGTATCATTTTAAGGAAGAATGTTAGGATATATAGAGTGATTCAAGAGTACAATGAACTACTTCCAGGGGTCGGAGAATAACTGAATACATGGTTTTTTCATCTTGGTTGATGATAGACACATGTCTACGAAGAGAGATATGCTGAATTAATTTGTAGTTTTATAATTATATGTATCCAACGCTTTCTATCTATGGCATTTCATAATAATTAGCAAGAGGATGGTAGACTCCCAGAGGCTGGACGAAACCATATCCTTTGTTTTCTTTACGTTTTCAGCTTCATATTTGGCGAAGCTCTTACTCGATCTTGTCTTAGAATCCAATACGCACTAACTGATAAACAAGCGAAACTAGAAAACCTGAAGATAATTCGATCGAGACTCAAAATCTAGCATGATCACTAAAGATAAAAAATCAAGATGATTAAAAGGAATCGTAGGAATCTCTTTCTGGCAGCGACTAATCAATACAAACAGGATAGCTAGGTCACTATAAAACTGAGGAGTGCGTAACTTGTAGGAATGAATTTTAGTGGTTGCTTCAGATGAATTCTCTGGGATGTCACCCGAAAACATTTACTCACTTCAATTGACGTTGATCGCTTGCCATTCTCTCACACAAGATATTAAGCAAATAGCATTTGGAATTCAGCACATTTTGTATTTACTTTGAAGACTTTGTTTGACGAAACCTAAACATAAAAGCGTGAGTTATTAGTAGATGACGATCTTCTCTTCAAAAATCTCTGATTAAATTAAAAAATTACTTGAAATCAGTACATTGCAACTACCAATTGACAACAATCACTGGCGTACATTATGAAACGCATCTGAAAGTTTGAAGTAACTGCCACTCACTCATATTCGAAACCATTCTATTGAATCCATGATTGTAATTCCATTAATCGATAAAAAAGATCGAAGGCAAAGATCTAAGAGAAAAATTATTAAAAACTGAGCAAGTTTCGAATATTAATAAAGTATTATAAAGCACTCAAGTTATCAAGTATCTCGTGTGAATATATAAAGTGTGCACCTTCATCGAAACTTAAATATTACAAATGAAATGCTACTCTCAACTACATAATGCTACTGCTCCTTCGCTGGGAAACTTTAGTAGAAACGCCCCCCTCACTTATACGATGGCAACTTATCATCAAAAAAGATACGCAGAACCCATCCAATGCATTGTTTATTTCTCTCCTTCGCCCCGATCAACGCCTCAATATGAAAAATAGCATCAACATCTTACGAGATAGTTTATAGCTTCTCTAAAAAAAACCAGCTCAACTAGAGAAAAAATATACTCATCTTATTCTGGTTGAGAGCAATTAATATCATTCTGCAGCTATCAACTGTAAAGCACAACTAGTTGGTTAAGTTTTACACAGTTTTGTGCACTAATATATATGTATCAAACGGGAAAAAAATCAATCACCCTAAAGAAACACAAGCGTGTCTATACTTTTCTTAGGAACCTAACATAATCTCATAAAAGAACTGACGCTTCAACTTTAGCCGATTAGAGAAACCACTGATGTCTACCAATTAATTGTGAATGTAGATATTTTCGTGATGATTTACAAAGTTCCACTTCTTTGAATCGATAGATAAAATCAATATATGAAGGAACCTTTTCACATAGGAACACAACCTTCCACTTATTTTTGATAGGAATGAAACGAGATGAAAGGAAACATCGTACTTAACTTCTAGTGGGTCAGATAAATCTTTGACTTGAAGCAGTTCATTGAGAATGAGCACACATTCATACCAGTTTCCATACGTTCGCTTCTTTAACTAAATAAATAGAACGATTAAATGAAAATAAAACCTTTAATGTACAAAAAAACTTCGCATAATTCTCTGGATATGCGAAGAACGAAAATAAAACGAATAATGACACGTAAATTTAAGTGGGCCGATGAAACTATTGACGCAGATCAATTGATTTAGAATAAGTCCATGTTCTTAACATTTTCTAAACTTCCGCTTGTTTATCTAGATAAATAAAATGACTATAAAAAATGAGCTATTTTTATATGCGCAAGGTTCGTTGAAATGATTTTTTGGATATGTAAAATTCATACTTAACTTTCATTCGCTTAGAAACAACATTGATGTGAAACATTTGGTTAAAAATCAGCCTCTGTTTGTACCAATTTTCAGAAGTCTAGTTGATTATTTAGAGGAAAAACATGATCAGATGAAGATGAATTATTTCATCTAAGAACAAATCGTTCAGATTTTTTTCCCGATATGAAACAAACACAAGCAAAAGAAACTTCATACTTAACTTGTAGAAAGTAAATGAAGCCAGTGACGTAGAGCAATTGATTTTCAATGAGTACTTGTTCATAGAAATTTCGAAAGTTCCGCTTGTTTCTCTAGATAAATAAAATGATTAAATGAAAAAAAAGCGTTCCCTGAAGGAAAAATTATTTCAGATAATTTTCTTAAACTGTAAAAATACGAAATAAAATAGCATACCTAACTTTCAAATGGTAAAAGGAAGCATTGACGCGAAGGAGTTCGCTGAGAACGAGTAGCGTTTCATTCTACTTTCTGAGGCCTTGCTTCTATATATAGAAGAATAAGATAATCAGATGAAGATGATTCACTTTATCTAGAGAAACAAATCGTTTGGAAAATATTTTCAGTTTAAAAGAAATCAAATCAAGTGAGAAATCATACTTAACTTCCATTTTTCCGTTGAAACCATTGATATGGAGCTATTGATTGAGAATAAGCACTTGTTTGTATCACTTAGCAAAGATACACTTGTTTACCTAGATAAATCGGAAGATTAAATAAAGAAAAACTGTTGCATCTGAAAAAAAGAATATAGTTCAGAAAATTTTATCAATATGAAAGAAATAAAAACAAGC